AATACAAATTAGACAATGAGATTCCCAATTCCTCCCTTTGTCTATGTGCCAGCAGCAATTAAAGAGACAGATTAACATCCAAAGTAAGGTTCACTGGTGAATAGGAGGATATGCTGAAACACAATGGGAAGGAATATAAAAATGGTAAACACGTTTAAAAGACAGTGTGACACGTTCTATTCAATTTTTAAATGCAAATATCCTTTGAACCTGTCATTCCACTTCCATTTCACTGTACTAGAGAAATGGTCACATGGGGCCTGAAAAGGCATGTTCTAGGATATTGCAGGGTTTGTGTTTTGTTCTGTTTTTGTATCAGAAATAACCTAAATGGTATTGGCAGTAAAATGAGCAAATAGATCATTGCATATCCATCCTACCATGAACGAATGAGAAGGCAATATGCTCTGGAGCTCATTACAGATCAGGATACTGTGGCTATCTTTTGTTTGGTTTTTAAACTTCTATGTAGTATTCCGCAGAATGGGTATATTCTACTTCATCTGTGTCCTTATTGATGGATCTATGTGTAGGTAACTGCATAGAAGTGCACAAACATCAAACTGTGAACAGTAGTTATTTCTGGGGAATGGAGTGAGTGAGAATTGACAGGGAGGAGTGGTTAAATAGGATTTTCATGTTTGATTATATTCATACCTAGTTGAAACTTTTAAAACAAGAATGTATTCATACAATTGTGAACTTGAGTTTTTGACAGTAGGACTCAGAAACTCAGATTAACATAACCAATAAACAAAAAATAACAAGCCTCCCTTTTTATCTTATCCCTCACTCTCCGTGAACTTTGCCTTGCCATTGTGTCAGATAAATGGACCGTCATCTCTAGCAATTGTCCTCACTTCCTGAAACTGCAGCAAGTATACTCGTAATACTCCCAACTACTCTGAAAATAGGATTTTTCACAATTCTTTTGAGTCAAGAAAGCCCCTAAAAAAAGGTATTAAGCCCTAACTGGTTTGGTTCAGTGGATAGAACATCAGCCTGCGGACTGAAGGGTCCCAGGTTCCATTCCAGTCAAGGGCACATGCCCAGGTTTCAGGCTAGATCCCCAGTTGCGGGCGTGCAGGAGGCAGCCAATCAGGTTCTCTCTCATCATTAATGTTTCTATGTCTCTCTCCTTCTCCCTTCCCCTCTGAAATCAATAAAAATATATTTTAAAAGGTATTAAAATAATTATAAAATATGATTATAAGCATAATTTAACATAACAACATAATATAATGTAAAAAATGAACTGTGAAGTGAAGTACCATAAATGGTCCCAGCTGCTCCCCAATCTCACACATTGGATCGATGGCTGCAATGTTACGGGTATTTTTACTAGAGAGATGATGCAAGACATGTGGGAGATTTTCGAATTCCTGTACAGTTAACTCTACAGTGGGTTATTTACTTTTTGGATTATTCCTAGCGCCTTTTAAATGCCAAAGGGATTTTCCCCAACTGTTAAGCATTCTTCTGAGTCATCACTTTCAATTGGTAGGAGTTCAAGGAATGCAAATTCGTTTTCTATTAGCCTAAACAAACACACTTAGAAAGGAAGATTCCTTGAGGCAAAGAACACCTATCACAGCCAAATTTAAATTGCCTTTGACCATTGTCATCAGGGAAATGAAACCAAAGTAATTGTCTTCTTAGCCTCTAAAGAAAAATGTTTTAATGCTTTCTCTTGTAGAGTTCGTCATCATTTGTAATCCTAATGTTCTTTTTATATTCATTTTAAATCACTCCAATTTGGGCCCATTTTTTTGGTGGGCATCAATGAAAGTACATGGGAAAATCTCAGCCATTCTCAATATATTTCCCAGCCTTATCAATGTACAAACATGGTAATTTTATGCTTTTTCATTTAATTGTTTACATATATTTTCTTTTTACATTGATTAACCCACATACTTATTATTTTTAACTTCACTATGATAGTTTATTATAATACCTGCCATGCAATGAGTCAGGCACTCTATTAGGAATTTTATACATATATGAGTGGCCTGATGCATGAAATTCATGCAGGGGGGGGTGGAGGGGTGTCCCTCAGCCCAGCCTACACCCTCTCACAATGCAGGACCCCTCGGGGGGATGTCCGACTGCCGGTTTAGTCCCGATTCTCTGGCCTAAACCGGCAGTCGGACATCCCTCTCACAATCCGGGACCGCTGGCTCCTAACCACTGGCCTGCCTGCCTGCCTGATCGCCCCTAACCACTCTGCCTGCCTACCTGATCGCCCCTAACCACTCTGCCTGCCTGACGTCCCTAACCACTTTGCCTGGTTGCCCCTAACCACTCTGCCTGCCTACCTGATCGCCCCTAACCACTCTGCATGCCTGACGCCCCTAACCACTCTGCCTGATCGCCCCTAACTGCTCGCCTGCCTGCCTGATTGCCCCTAACTACCTCTGCCTCGGCTCCTGCCACCATGGCTTCATCTGGAAGGACATCCGGAATGACATCCGGAAGGTCATTTGGCTGTCCAGTCTAATTAGCATATTATGCTTTTATTATTATAGATTATTTTATTTACTCCTCACAACAACTCTACAATGTAGATTCTTAATGTATAATTATTCTTAATGTATAAATGAGGAAATTGAGGCTCAGAGAGGTTGTTAGTGGTGGAACTGGGACTTAGTAATTTATTTCTAGTGAGTATTAGAAATAACAGAATATTGTAGATGAGACTCCCAGTGGTCTCATTCCCAAATCTACCATCAACATAACGCCAGTCTTTCTTTTATCCATTTACAGGTTGCTTAGCTGATCCCCCACTGTTAGGCATTTTGGGTTATTTCTGATTTCTTGCAGTGATGATAATATCTCATGAAAATTGTTTTGTAACCATATTCATCCTGTGTCTTCATGAAGCTCAGTTTCTACAGAGCCACATCGCATTGCCTGGAAGTAATTTTAAAAATAAATTCCAATTTTCATTTTGTTTCTCAAAGATAAAATCACAGAGGATTCAGTTCAAAACTCCAGATCTCCTGCTTTTATTCCTCAGTTCTCTTACACTCTAAAACTGCTATCAAGGCAATGACAGTCTAAATCCCCAAACTCCCTACAAGCCAGAACTCCAAAGCTCTTCTGTCTCCTCCTACCTCCCCTTGGCTCTTCACTTTATAGATCAATGCATCCTCCTGGGCCTGGTTCTTACCCTGACCCTCGACATTCTTTTCTGGCTCCTCTCTGTTCATTCCAATAATCCAAACCAGAAGGAAAGAAGTTGGAGGTATGGATTGTGCAGAAACAGGGATAGCACAAATCGGGAAACACTTACAGATGAATACATTTTACTCACTTATTTATAAGTTAAAGTTTTTGGTGTTTTTATTCATTTTAGGGTTTTTTTCCCTCTTGAATTATAGTCTTCCAAGTGAGATTTGTGAGTCATCGAATAGATCTATGATAGTGAATAGAAGTATCCCTACTAATTTTTTAAAAAATACATTGTTGCCCTGGAACTGATTTTCCTTTGTTTCATGTAACTGTCAGTTTTATCATGCTTAGTAAAGTACAAAAATAAATAAAGCCAAAAAGAATTTGAGAAGGGTACGTTTTAAAGGCCTGTTTTAAATGATATAAGTTTATGACAAAAGTTGTTGCAATTCCAGATGTTCCAATATTGAGTAGAACCTTGAAGGCTCTTAAAATAAGTATATTATTCATGGAAATCCTATATAATAAAAGCGTAGTATGCAAATTGTCCCCTTGGCCGGAAGGTCGTGTGCGAGTTTGACCAGGGGGTGGGGCCGGCCGGGGGAAGGGAGGGAGGCCGCGGCCGGCAGCCACTAGGGACCCTACCAGTGCACGAAATTTATGCACTGGGCCTCTAGTCTCAAGATAAAACCTCTAGTTGGTTAAGGTTGTTGTTAAGAAACCAGGAAATCATGGTTACTGTTTCAGTACCACAGCCTTTCTGTTAAATACTAGGCAAAAATTCCTAGAACTTAGTTTCTGAAATTTTAAGATTTCAACATTTAAATACTATCTTACTAATGGTTGTTTTATTTTTCAATCATGTGCAAAAAGAATGGTGCAGCCCTGGCTGGTGTGCTCAGTAGTCAGAGCGTCAACCTGCACAACAGAGAGTTGGGAACTTGATTCTGGATCAAGGGCAGGTACTTGGGTTCCCAGATTTTTCCCCACCCCTGGTCAGAGCATGTGCAGGAGGCAATCAATGTGTCTCCCTCACATCTATGTTTCTCTCTTTCCCCTTCTCACTTCCACTCTCTCTAAGGCAGTGATGGTGAACCTTTTGAGCTTGGCGTGTCAGCATTTTGAAAAACCCTAACTTAACTCTGGTGCCGTGTCACATATAGAAATTTTTTGATATTTGCAACCATAGTAAAACAAAGACTTATATTTTTGATATTTATTTTATATATTTAAATGCCATTTAACATAGAAAAATCAACCAATCAACCAAAAAATGAGTTCGCGTGTCACCTCTGACACACGTGTCATAGGTTCGCCATCACTGCATTAGTGGAACCTTGACCCAATAGACTCCCCTTCTCAGGGATATTTGCATGTAATACCTTATTTCCAACTGCGAATGCAAAGGTTTGTTTCTGGTCTTTGAGTTTGGCTCTTACAAGTTAATACACAGCTCTTTGGGAGAAGAGGGGCGGCCCAGGCACCTTCTCTTCATGTTGTATGTTATAAATATGTTTTCTCAGTTGATGAATATGGCCAGCTCCCAATTTACTGTCCTAATTAACTGCAAGTTCTGAGGTCAAGTGTACTCTGTACACATTCAGATCTTGCACAGGTTCACACATATAAGTGTGAGAAAGGGCATGTAGGTGGCAAAACGTGGAATTTGCTAATTAGGAAAAGAAATGCATGCCATTCATTAGGAATAAATTACTACACTCACTTTCTATGCCATTTTTATTGCTTCTTCATAATGAATCTCTGGAATCAGATTAAACCCGGAAGTTTTTATTTTCTTTTGTCTTTTTTTTTTCTTTCTTCACCAGTTTGACAAATGGACAGACTCTCAAAGGAGAAGAATCCTGACGGGCCTGTTAGAACGCTGCTCCCTGTCACAGCAAAAGTTCTGCTGTCGAAAGCTTCAGGAAAAAATTCCAGCAGAAGCTCTGGATTTTACTACCAAGCTTCCAAGGGTGTTGTCCTTATACATCTTTTCCTTCCTGGACCCCCGAAGCCTTTGTCGTTGTGCACAGGTAAAGGCAAAGAAGCAGTGTGGGGCATTTTGTAAGGACAGCCTGGAAACTCTGGAACTTGAGAGGGAAAAAAAGCAAATACTAGTATAGCAGGTTCTCAACTAACATCATTTTGTTTAACTTAGTTTTGTTACAATGTTGATGAGAATCTGTAGGAACTTAACTCTTGTTTATATCAGCCTACATAAAACTGGTTTCGTTACATGTCATTTCACTTAAAGTTGCAGAATCTATCGGTGACATTAAGTGAGGACTTACTATGCACAAAACCAATAAATGGCGTGGTCAGTATGTTTAGTCTGTGTAGTTTGGGATCCCCCCCTGTCTCAGACACTTTGTGTCTCACTCTCTATTTGGTGCTCAAAATGGAAAAAAAAAGTCTATCATTAATGTCCACACACAATGTCTCACTCTCTATTTGGTGCTCAAAATGGAAAAAAAGTATAAGATATCATTAATGTCCACACACACACAAAAATTGCTAGGTGGTGAGGCAAACACCCAAAGAAGAAATGCTTCATCAGCAGGACCATCTTACATTGCACAGCTACAATAAAATCCTAAATTGCACAGTGCAGACCATTCATAAAGAGAAAGGCTCAAAATAAGGTGCTAATGAAATATACAAAAGAATATGAGACTAAAAGAGTTCAGAGTGAGCAAATGTGCTCACGGATTTGGAAAAGGAGCTGACCACTATTTTCTTACAAGTAATTCCATGGTGTATTAAAGTGTAGTTAAATTACTTAAGATTATAAAATGGGTAGTAAGTTTGTTGAGTCTTCTCATAGAGGCTAGTAACACCAGACATTACCTGTTAGCATGCATTCACACATGTGCAAAATGTTAACTTTCATTTTTAAAATTAAGAAAATGAATTCAGTAAGAAAGATGAATTACTTAATGAAGGAGCTGGGAAAGTTGGGAAGCTATATGAAAAAAATTTCTAGTAGGATAAAAGATTGATATGAAATCAAAGGAAACTATGAAGGTACTCAAAGAAAACACAGGGAAGGAGGTCTTTGTAAGTACTCTATAATACCCAGAAACCATAGACAAAAACATGTCATTTAAATTTTTGCTTTACTCATTATATATAGTATTTACTATATGTATTTTATGAGCAAGACTAAAGAAAGCTAGATTTTAAATTGTGTCTATAAAAATTAAAATTTTCTGTATAAAAAAGAACATTATAAATAAATCCAAACAGTAAATAGGGAAAATACATATTGCCAATGAAGGGCTAATTTTCTTATATTTTGAAGAACTTCTATTAATCTATATTAAGAATAAAAGACCACCTGGCTAGTGTGGCTCAGTGGTTGAGAGTAGAACTATGGACCAGGAGGTCATGGTTTCATTCCTGGTCAGGGCATATGCCAGGGTTGCGGGCTTGATCCCCAGTAGGGAGCATGCAGGAGGCAGCTGATTGATGATATCTCTCAT